GCCCGCCGGTGGCTGCAGAGAAAACATGCTCGACGAAGGCCTTCCACTCCGGACAGGATGGCCACAAGGATGATTTAGAATGAGAATGACGTGGAACACATGGAGATACACCAGCGGGAGCCACAGCTGTTGTTCCGGGAGAGATACATCGAGGTCTGTCGACCAGCCGTCGGGCCACGTGACTTGCCCTTTTGGGATGCGCTTTAGATTCGTGCGGGTGGCGCAAGTATCGACAGGAAAGGGAGGGAAGTAGATATGCAAGATGGGAAGGTGATGAAGCGACGGCAGTAGCCTCTTCAAGTTGGCACAGCAATACAGGGAACAGGTCAGTGTCGAAACAGCGTAAATGTTGCTTGACGATGGCCCTAACGGTCAAAATACACCGAGAGAAGCATTGAATGTCAGGGTGGTGGTGGTTTACAGAAGGAGACACGGTTTGTAGGCCTTCGCACAATGCATTCGTGACGCTGTGGTTGTCTGCTGGACATGACAAGTCTGACTTAAGTTGTCTCAGGCCCAAAGAGGCGTCAAAAAGACAGCCGCGCGTATGTCTAGCCTTCAAGATGGAGGAAGGATATGAGGACGAGGGGGAGCGTTGATTAAACTCGAGTTATGGCATTCATTGTCGATGAACGAGAATCTGCTCTCGAGTCTGGGTGCATTGGCTATTTTTCGTGAAGAGGTGATGGATGTATTGACGGGCATGTATGTTGACGGTGTGGATATGCGTTTATAATATGTCTATCTGCCCTTTAGTGGTTAGCTTCGATATTCTCAGAGCACGTAACCACCCATACCAGAGTTCTTCTCCCAGTCGTCTCTCCTTCGCGTGCTCCATAACCACATCGTGCGCTGTCTTGTCGGCGACCGCGATATATCCTGCGCAAGCCCCAGCCTCTTCCACTCAATCCACCGCAAGGCTATACAAGTTGGTGGTCGATTTTCGTCACTGTCGATGGTGAAGATGCTTGCTCCCGGGCGAGGGAGCACGACAGGGCCAAAGTGGACGGGATAGAGGAGAGGCAAGAGTGCCGAAAGATGTGTGCTGTGTGGTAGACTCGCTGTCGTGTCGACCGCCTGGACTAGTTAGGACATCCTCGTCGCTCTATAGTTGCTGCACGGTATGGTTGAACCGTGTCAGAAGAGGAGAGTGGAGTCCTAAGGTTGCATTGAGCCATTCGGAAAGCAAGAAAAACCATGCCAACGCACCAGTGCAATCCGCCATAACCCGATGTCCTCCCCGTCCAGTCGCCCTCTCCATCCTCTCCGCAGCAGCAGCGCTTCCTTCGTCTTGATCCACCGCGTGTTTTGGGCTGAAGAATGCGTTGGGATATGTAGGCTGACGACATGACTGTGCAAAGAGAAGAGGAGAGTGTGATGTCACGCATTCTGGCTTGCTCTTCTAGTATTTCGTTTCGTGAAACAACACACTAGCATGCTAGCATCGCTGAAGCAGCTTTCCCTCGCTCTTCCTCTCAAGTGATCGCCAACTCTCAAAGCTTTCAAGCTCTTGGTTCTCGAGCAACAACTCAAATGTGGCCGAGAAGCAGCGAGCGCTATAACAAGTGAAACGTCGCTTGTTCTTGTTGTACTATATTGAATACAAGAGCGCTCCTTGTCTGACCATTCTCCCTAATCCAACGCCTGCATGCCAATCAAGGAGCATGGCGACTGCGAAGCTGTCTTCACAACAGTGAACGCGGAGGTGTCTTCACTTTGTATCATCGACTCGTACTGGGCAACCAACGCCGCCGCTCGAGTGTCATCTACAAACAACGCGTCAGCACATATACACTCCCGCATTTACAAAACAACATACTGTTCAGAATCGGGTTTACCAGGCGGGTATCCACCCCGCTCTGCGCCAAAAACGACTCCAGAAACAAGAACCAGTTATCGCCATTTGTCGTGTTGCCGCTGAGGAAGGACTGAACTCCACCGAACAGGACAACGGTCTGTGGGTTATTGACCGAGACCATGTGCCACTGTACGAAGACTTTAGAGTTGACGTCAACGCGGTCGCTACGCAGCACATCCCCGCGTGGTATGTAGCTGTAGCCGTCGTCAATAGACGCTGCGCCGATCATGTTTGCACTAAAATCCACGTGAGTAGGCTCCCTTGGAAGGAAAAGCAGAAGGCCTACAGTAGATTTCCTGGATTCGTGGCATTTGGAGTTAGCCCGAATGTCTCTGAGGCGGTATCGGAGTCGATGACAATGACAGTGTCCGTGCCAAGGCTGCTGTTTGTCGAGGGGATAGCAGCAACAACACCCTGTGGACAGTAAGAAGTGCTGAAACCAGGTGCAGTAAATGCCTTACTGGCGCGCCGGGGGCAAGTGCTAACACAGTCGACGACACCGGCTGGGTTGTGCTGAATTTAACCCAGACATCGACTTGGAACTGGTTGATGGGACCGTCGTTCATGATGGAGATGTAAGACCCCATGGTGCTTGCTGGTGGCAGAGAGCGCTGTTATGTCGATTGCTTTAGTCGCAGCCCACTCAGTGTAATTTTGGTGTCGCTAATTAAAGCCAGGGCCAGAATTCGGAAGTAACCCAAGCCTTCTGGTCACACAAGAGCAGATGCGTCCCTGGAAAATGATCAGTCCCCCCGATTTGCGTAACAAAAACCCTCGCTAACGGTGCTATTCCAGTGGACTCGTGTTGATTCCTGTACCACGGGAATCACGCTGACGTTAAGCGGTGTCGCGCAAGTCTTCCTCTCCCTTTGTGTGCAGTCCGCTGATCAACGAAACAGCCTAGGCGCAATGGATTTAGCAGCCAGGGATGCAGGCTACCGTGCCGTCGCGCCCGGGAACTCGTACAAGTCAAGCAAGCTCAGCTTGAGCCTCGTGCACCAGGCAGACGTCAAAATGGTCCAGAAGGTCAACGACAACACAATCACCATGTGGTCGGGGAGCTTCACGGTGTTCAGTGGTGCGACGGCAAAGTAAGCATTGACACAAATGGTGGAATCAGCTCACTCACGTTTGCGCCAGCTCGGTGAAGACGTACAAGATGTCGCAGCAGCTCGGGAAGCTGGAAATGAAGCAGCTCATGTTTACAGACGCGAGCGACCAGACTACCGCTGGCAGGTTTGCTCTCGCGGGACAGTTTGCCAACTTTTCGCTGGTGCAGTTCCCCCGACCAGAGTTCAGTGCGGCGGACTTGGGATTGCGGTCGACGTGTGCCACATTGAAGCTGGCGGATTTGGATTGACGATAGCTTCAGCAGAGGGTTAGGGAACCCAGAATGAGACATAAGATACTATATATCAATGTCGTCTACACATGCAGCAAGCAGGCCTTCATGCGGGGTTAGAAATAACGTCTGCAGAGGTAGTGAGCAGAGCGACATACACTCATTCTATCCCCCAAGCATTGTGGCCAACTTCCTTCCCAAACCTCCATCCCCTCGACGCAAAACACCCATCGCGCAACGACGCGCACCCAAAATCCTGCCAAACAGCGCAGAAAACGGAAGAATATATGCCCGTGCATGACGGGATACACGTTGTCGGCTGCATATCGCTTTGAGCCTGGTGGTCAAGTCGATTCCAGCCCCATTGGTATCATCGTCGAAAACGGTGTCGTGAACGGAATTGTCGTGGATAATGCCACCCAGAAAGAATTGGGCGGCACAATGTAATGCTGCCGCACCACAATATACACTCGATAGAGGTGTATAGGGTGTAGGGGCAGAGCTGGAAGTCGTTTCCTGGCGGTGACGTTGCGCACGTGACCTTTGAGAAAGAAGGACGATTCGCGTTACTTGTGTGGGCGCCGCAGACGCAGATGCGCTGAGACAGATGGCGTTGTTGTCTGCGGAGACGGGAATGATGTTTCAGCAGGGTTGTAGCGCTCTCGAAGACACACAGTCGTGTGAGCGGCGCAGAGACTAGCTTCGTCGGCGCGAAGATGGTCGTGAGGCCCTCGCTCTTGCCCGCACTACTCAGACGGTTAAATACCCCGTCCGAGAAGTCTTTGCCGGTCGTAGTCGTTGCTGCCCAGGGAGGATGATGTACTCGCTCAAGCGCTGCTTCCCTCGTGCTTCTCCATGGCTGCGCAACGACATGTCGATGGGATCGGGAGCGATTCCTGCAGGCCTCCAGTTAGCGAATGTAGTCGACAGAAAGTAAGAACACGCACTGTTTGGCCAGTTTTCGACGACGCTTCCCTCTACCATCGCTCGGACTCCTTCTCAGACCACGGATATGGGGAGCATTGCCGTCCAATGATTAGCAATGGGAGAGCGGGAGGGTTAACCGAGGGGTGGGGAGTATCTGTTCTTCACACGGGAGAACGTGTTGCAGAGTATCTGCAGCGCGAAGACGTCAGGAATGAGAACAAGAAAAGGCCGTGCTTTGGCGCACCAAACAGAGCTATATTTCCTCGACCGCAAGCCCGTACTATGCTCCACTCTTTCCAGCGTCCGCGGTATCGGTTTCTAAGGCGCTGGTGCCATGTCGTCTACGTCAGAGGCGACGGCTGCTCGGGCAAGCCTGAGAGGCGGTCTGCGGTCAGCAGGCGGCCATCGTATATCGGGCCTTCCGTCGCACCAAATGGCTTGTGTGCGCTGAGGGCGCGGGCTTGTGCGCAGGGATAAGGGGGTTCTGGAGACTGGGATGGCGGAGCGGTGGAGGAGCGGAAGTGGCTGTCACATGCCGATGATCGTCGTTCCTCCTTCTTCTCGCCCGCCACGAAGGACCTACAAGGCGCGCTCGTACCGCTCTCGCTCTGGACCATGCAGCTGGGCGTTCAATCTTTGTCCGCCTTCCGGGCCTGTATATCCCGTCATATCTCCTCAAAGTGCTCACGCTCTTCAAGTATCTTCGACTTCAAGTTGCTGTTCTCCCGACAACCCAATTAGTTGGCGACGTAAACGCTCAGGCTGGCGCAGCAGTGATTTTCCAAGACTCCGTCTTCACTGCACTCTTCAAAGCTCACTATGTGAGTACAATCCTCAGAACCGCCAGAGGAAGGACAGCATCGCCGAAGATCCATGCAAATACCAAGCTCTTCCTCCCAACGAGCTCAAGACTCTGTCAACTGCTTCCTCCGCTCGTACTTCACCTCCGATGCAGGCTCGCGACTTGAACCAGGCTTTCTCTCCTTTCTTCCCCGTTTGCTTCCATCTGGACATTACCGACAACTTGAAGGCCACAAGGCTTGTTTCTTCCTCGTCAATGCAGGCCTTCCATTCGCAGTCGTTGCGAACTTGAAACTTGAAGGTGAGTCGATTACTAACCTGGCTCAAATACAATGAGACCGACCTTGTGTCCAGTCTTGCTCCGCTACGAGCCCATCGCGGGGATGGTTGTCGGTGACCTCGATGCCCTAACCGTCAAGGTTCGTGCTGCCGCTATTTTGTCCGTTGCGGTCAGTACTGATTAGGATTCAGCACTGTCAATTACTGGCGCTCGAGACCACCAACCGGCGTTGCCAATAGTCTCGCCGTTCAAGTTGTTTGTCCTCGTTCCTCTACCCCGTCGTGATGTCCGACCCTGACAAAACACCACAGAGCTCGTTGTCTTCCCTTGGATGGGTGCCTTCGTTGGCCGATAGATGTGCTCTACCTCGCGCAGGGAGCAGCTCTGGGCGTTAGTTCCTCCTTGGGGTCAGTCTTTCCGCAAAATTGACGAAATTTCACGATACTTACCTTGATTCCCAGTTTTAGCTCCTCATTGGCAGCGGAGAGCTAAAGTGGTTGGTGCGCGGCGCATAGAGCGCGCGCGAGCGAGGCGCGGTCGTGTTTTCTCGTTGTCTTCCCAAACTGAAGTAAATCCACAGGTCTCAAGCTTCGTGGACCCCCGCGATCCAAACCCTCGCCTTACAGGTCTCCGCCCCAATATCCATGAACGTTGTGGGAAGACGGCACCGTTGGTCATAACAGCGCACTGGATTGCCTCCTCGTCGTTCCAAATGACAGGCTGCGGCTTGATCAATTTGCCGAGCACGACTCCATCGAATGCGCTGCGCCTGATGCAAGGGAGCTTAAAGCCGGCTGTCTCAGCCGAGAAGACCCCCCGTCCCCGGTGGGGGTAGCCCTTGTCGTCGTTACAGCCGATGCTAACGCCGTTTTCACAGAAAACCTTTGTGTTGCGCCAAAGCAGCCTTGCCCGTTAACGTTGACGTCGGGGACGTCGGCGCCTGCTGTGCGAGTGAAGAACGCCAAGCGGGACCGCCGCTCGATGGCAAGGTTGGTGTTCCCGCCCTTGAACAACGTTTCTGGTTGCTGATGTTCAAATCGACGACCGGCGACCAGGAGGAATTCTCATTGAAAGCACTGCCGCGGGCCGCACTCGGAGCCAATTCATATCTGATCAAGCATGTCGGAAATGAATAGGCCCCGACCCAGGCGTGCTTCGGACACACGCGTTGCGTCCACACAGAAGGTAGGTATATAATAACCCCGCTGTCAACAAATGGCCCACCACTCCGAGTCGTCTCACCATTCCTACAGAATGTCCATCAACATCTCCCTCCGGGACCTCGATCTCGCCGAACTGCGTCCATGGCTACGGCGTGCGAAACACCCTCCCCCGCCATGCTCCGCGCTCGCTAACCATTCCGATCAGCCCTCGATCGCGCCGTGATCAGGACGGGCATGAAGCAGACGATCGACTTCTTCCACCGCCGCGTGCCCGACCTGGACGATCCGCGCTGGCTGACGGTCGAACGGTGCGTACTCCCCTGCCATATCGCGCGGTCGTGTCTAATGTGCGTCAGGCAGAACCTCTACGACGTGGAGCACGTCATCCAGCTAGAAGTCGCAGAGTGCAACTTGAATGAGAAAAACTGGATTGCCAACGACAAACTCGTTGTACAACTGTACGAGGAAAGATTCGTGCGCCTCGGGTTCAATGGTAGCCCCGAGAAAGAGTCGGAAGGTGAGGACGAGGGCAGCGAAGGCGGCCAGCCTGGGGGCGGCAGCATTGTCGGTGACGGCGCGGAGAGGCAACGCCAGGGTGAGGACGACGTCGAGAGCACGAGCCGCACGACTGACGGTCTAAGCGAGAGCAGTTTTTCCGAGTACATTCAGAGAGACGACGCGCATTGACGATATCGCAGTGTTCAAGTAGTCTGCTGTCTTGGAGTCCTTGCAAACCAGATCGAAATGACATGAGTTCCCAGATTGATTCTTCGGTTAGCTGCTAGCTGCGCATTCCCACAACCACGATGTATATGAACGCCGCGGTCTCAGAGTCCCCGTGCCCTACCCGCAGTACAGATGTCCTCCTTCCCCAAAATCCTCGTATCCTTCACCCACGACCAACGTAAGAAACCGCCGCTCCACTCAGATCTTGTCTAATCCCCACAGCACTGGACTTCGACATAGTGCGAACGCGCTGGCGGAACCGAATCAGCGCGTTCCACCTCCGCGTGCCCCCCAAACGATGTGCGCCGGACCGTGGCCCGACGGTGCGTCTTCCTCTCGCACACAGCGAGCGGTTCTGACATTCCCCAGAGAAGGCCTCCTCGACGTAGAGCAGGTCATCGAGGCCGGCATCCTGCACTGCTACCGCCGAGGCATACCCGTCAACGAACAAGACATCGTCGAAGCCTTTATCCAGAATCTGATCAGTGTCGAGTGCGGCGAGAAAACTGGCAACAGCAATCATACGCCGACCATGCACACCGAGAAGACTGACAAGAAGGGCGATGGGGGGCAAGAGAAACAGTAAGAGTAAGGCCAGATGTTTGCGCTCTTGAACCACAATGTGTACAGTTATATACTGCATCGTGTATCTTTAGCTCCATCGCCTCTTAATAGCCTCTCAGGAAGTTCTGAGTCGGTCCGATAGCTGTACTGCTCTCCTTCTGACAAAGCATTGGTGAAAGGATAATCATGAGCTGCAATGACTCACACGTCCTGTCCACGATCGTCGCTCTCTTCGGAGAAGGGAGAGACACCGTCTCTAAAACGGGCTGAACAGTTTTATCAGTGACCGCCATGGTGCTAGACATCAATATGCGCACCAGATACTACTCGCGAGCGCCTTTCCGGGTCGAATTTACACCTGTGTCGTCTTTGACTCGGGTTTCTCAGGAAGAGTCTTCTCGTGGCTTGAAGTCGCAACTGAGACCAGTAGCTCAGCCTCGAGCCCATAAAGAGAGATATGTAACTCACCGAGGCCAAGAAGCCATATTCTCATCGAATACTCTTCGCGAACGCGACATCGACAGACACAAAGACGGTGGGCGAACACTGAGAATCGAGTAAGTCGTTATTTCGCGATCTCCGATCGAGCTGGAATGCAGACTCACTAAATGATCCATCAGTCATGCGCGGGAGGGTGAAGAGGAAAGACGGACATGGTTTGGGGCAACATTTTCGCAACCACAGTCCAAAGGTCGCCAGACAACGGCGGAGCAGCAGAGCCCCCAGCGCGTTTCACAGTCTGAGACCCCTGTTACGTTCGCAGAGAGTTTGACAAGAGCGTTCGAGTTTGGTGAATCGGGAAGAAATGTGTGAATGACCTTAAGGGAGGTCGCGCGTTATTAGCTCGGAGAAGTCGTTGTCGGGCACGACCAGCCGGGAAAACAACCAATTCGCTCCACTCCCGGTCTTGAATAAGTGCATGGCGACCTAGTAATACAATGACGTTAGTGCTCAAAAGAGGAGCCTAAGCGATAACGCACGCATAGTGCCAGTGAGGCCCCTTCACACAGTATTCGTAGCACTACACTCTCCCCCGGACCCCCACTCGCATATTCCAACTGCTTCGTCACCACCTTGGCACCAGGCAAAGCGACATTCCCCCATCGAAGACGTGTTTCAATTGACAGTTCCGCCAGGTTTGAGAGCGGACGACAGACTAGTCGCTGTATCAGCTGCGAGTTACTACAGTAAAGGCGAATTCACTTGCCTTCAGAATCGTTTCGCATGGCGGCTGGGGCACCTCCAGTGGCCAGGCTCATGCTGGCAATGCTGGTCGTTGTGCTCTTCTCCGTTAGGATGGCAAGCCTGTCCAACGGTTTGGCGGAATTGGGACCAGGGCGGAACAAGGGGAGATGGGCGAGATGAGCACTACCCCGCACAGCTTGGAGTCAGGAATAGGGAAGTTATGTCGAAGAGGCAATGAGGCGAAAGGCTAGTGTGGATCCGTCTTGGCTCGTCAGCTTGTACTCGTCGGTGAGAGGAATGCATGTGAAGAGAAGGGACTGGAATGAAGGGCTGAAATAACGATGGTTAGCAGTAATAGAAAAGAGCAACACAAGTACGCACCTTAGTATTTCGACCCCTCTGTCGCTTTGCCCAAACCTGCAACAAGACCAGCCAGGTCGTCTTCCCCGTTCTCCACAGTCTCGGTTGTGCCTCCCGGTGTTCCGTCGTTGTCCACTGCTTGTTCCTATATCGCCTCGGAAAGAGAGTGCAGAAAGAGTTGACTACTGGTAGTCGCGGGCTGCTCCAATGTCGAGGAGGCCGCCGAGATGCGTTGGCAGTGGAGCATGCGCTGGGGGAGGCGAGCAGTATTGTGGCACCTTGAAGATGGATTAAAGAACGATGTGAAGAGAGAGAGAAAAGGCGAGACTCACTGCGAAACCCGTCTCCACCAACTAACCGCTATCCATCCTTATTGGGTGTCCCAATCCATCGTCATTCACGCTGAGAGTCAAACCGGGCTGGCCAGCGGTACTGTGCGCAGAGAGCGCCCGTATGAGGCGAGGGCCGTTATCGACATGGGCGTTCGTTAGCAAGAAGAAACGGTCACATGCCTCGACACTCTCTTTCCCTTCTCCACCATGACTAGGCACTTGCCTCCGGCTCTTGCTCGCCATTGCTCAATCAACGTCTTTGACACCCCGGGAGCTATCGGAGCAGAGGGCTTACACATAGATACGTGGCACGATGGTGCGTGTGTATCTCATTCTCGGAGAGGATCTCAATTTGCATTAGGTTTGCGGCCTGCAATGGAAAACCCGCCGCTCTAGATCTCCCATTCAAGGTCTGGCGACGTCCGCGGAATAGTTGGAATCTGCGATGGGTGGGGCCTGTTCCAAGCACGACCGTCAGCAAAGTTGGAGAGGAACTGGCAATAAAGGGGGCGCTGCTGCCTCCTACGTTGCTGAAAGCAACCACTTAGCACCAAAGAAGAAAAGACTGGCACCGCTCATAGCGTTCTCTCCTCGCATACCAGCACGACACGAACCCCAAGGACACTCATTTTGCTGGCATCGACGACTGAAAGACTGGAATGTATCCTAGTCCTTCCGCCCACCCATCTTTTCCCATCTTTTCCACAACGCCCGCAGCTCGTCTGACAGATTCTGCGCTCGACCCATACTGCTCATTCTGCGAAGGTCTTCAAAAGACATTTGCCGAAACCATCCCAGCTCCGCAAAACATGCTCACAACCCTCATCTCCCTCTGCCTCGACATCTCTCCTTCCATACTATCAACCTCCGACCTCCATTTTCTGCCCACGAGCGCCTTTTCGCCTTGCTTTCCCTCCCATGTCACATCGGTCGCCGTCACGCTTTCATGCTTGATTTGGCGGACTCGTAACTCGCGCCACACACTAGCTGGGGCCTCATCGACCGGACCTCCATCTGCGCTGACATCTAACGCTTCTACCCAATTCTTGCTGCCCGCGGTTTCTCCCGGGAAGGCCGTCGTCGGACACGATCTCGCAAAGAATGCTTAAATCCCCACACTCAGCTTTTTCACCTCAGCGATCGGCATACGCGGAGGAGGAGGTGTATCATGTGCAATGATACAACCCACCGTGCTGTCCTACTCCTGCTGTTTATCGAGCCAGAAACGATGAGAGAATCGTGCGCGGGAGCTATCTGGGTTCCAATCTCCCCTGTTGTCGTCATCCTCCTTTTGTCAAGCGGGTTTATTGCTTCTTCGGGGCCTCGACGGTGTTATTGTCGGTATGAACCTGCTGCTTAGCATGCGTGGGCTGCACTAACATCGTATACTAACAGGTCGATTGTTGTGATGGATGGGCCCGGTCGATGGGTTTGACACTATACTAGTATGCTCAAGCAGCTGGAACTTCAATGATACTTCCCCTTGGGCGTTGCTCTCCTCGTATGTAAGTATATTTTTGTCGCTTGGAGTAAAACAATGTTAACAGGCTTCCGGATAGGTATGCCAGATCAAACTCCGAGTCCTAGCTATGAATACGCGCCCGCGTAGTCCGATCCAGTGCGAAATGTAATGGTTGCCCGCCTTGCCAGTATCCGGAAGTATTGCAGCAGTCTTGAAGAGTATTACTAGTAAATCGTGGCTGGCCGCGGCGTCCAGGAACGAATTGCGACTAGTAGGTCCGGGGTGCGGAAGCTGAGCTGTTTTAACTTCAATTAACCACGAAACGCTGCCCAGCACACTGGAAATTGTTGTGGAGCTGGATTTTGGCAGGCAAGGGCGGGAGGGCATTGCTTTGAGCTCTCCAAAATGACGGGTTACCCTCCCGCTTGTGGCGTCCCAGCTCTGGATAAATACTTGGCTGCTTCGCTGTTATTCCTTCAGTTCCGCACCGACAACTTGAACCCAATTAGTAGGTCAATAACTCCTCCTAACTGTCTTTCGTTTTACTGACCTCACCGTAGAACCAACACTCAACATGCAATTCACCACCCTCTTCACTGTTGTGCTGCTCGCTGCGGCAGCCAACGCCGCCATCACGCTCAAGTGGCACGACTGCGCAGACTGCACTGGCACGCTCAAGGCCACGAGCCCCGGCGCCAAGGCGGGCGAGTGCATCTCCCTCACCAAGGGTGGCAGCGCGCGGAGCATCTCGTGGGACGGCAACACCAACGGTGTCGAGCTCGAGTTCTTCGAGTCTGGCGGCAAACACGACCACTGCACCAATGGCTTCCAGGCCAGCAGCAAGAAGAAGTCAGGCTGCTCCAACGCGCCCGCTGGGTGAGTAATAATAAGTATTACCGCGACAATATTAATAGCTTCCACTTAGCGCAACAATTGACGGTGTCTGCTAGCTTCAACTGGGAGAGTGTCCGCCTCGTTTAAAGAATTGATGCTCGAGATCGACAAAGTGTACCAGTAGTACACCGCCAATGTTTTTCCGGCTGCAACATGGCCGGAAAAACCACGGCAGACACATGTGAC